GATGCCGGGCGGCCTCCGAGCTCTGCCTCCCCCCAGGGACAGCGAACGATGCCGCTGACGGCATTTCGGTGCAGCTTCCCCCAAAGGTTCGCTCCTTCTCTTGAGCCTCTCTACATGTTTTAAAAACGTACTCTGCAGTTATATCATATAAAGGTTTCTCCCCCCCCCCCCCGATTTTGGTTTTCTCTCAGTCCCTTTTAAATGAAATAACACCATGGAAGTCAGTAAATACATCATCGTTACCACTTTATTTAACCGATATGCTGTGATCTCCCGTTCCTGCAACAAAATGCAAGTACCAGTGATCCTGTTCCCGGGCAGGTATCACAAACCCTTACGTACAGCATTATGACACATACACATCAGCCTTCCACAACCTCACAGGCCCCAAAGTATCAATTAAGATGCTTATGATTTATGTCAGAGCGGTTGTCTTTCTAACCCTCAGGCTGTAACATTTAAACAAAGGTTCAATCCACATTTTGCTCCTCTTTTAACCCCCCACCCATTTTAACAGACACATATAACCACACACCTACAGCTACGCAGAGAAGTTTTTCAAGTATAAAATGACATTTTAGAAATTAAACCACAGACCTTCCAACATGCAATTTCCTGTCTAAACTGCAACTTTCCTTTATCAAGTGCACCGGGTAAATCCCCTCCTGTTACAAGTAAGGTCTAATGCTTTAATCCACAGACAACATTTTTGTTAAGCAGAAATGGCAATGCTGTGCAAGAACTAGAGACAGCCATGGCTGCAGAAGTTTGTCACCCAAGGACGTGGCTCTCTAAATGCCTGTTTCACTGCAACTGGCTGTAAAAGACATCACAATCCAGTGAAGCAAATGTTTGTGTATTTGGCTGTTAAAGATTTCACAGTCAAATTAATTACTGTTTTAAAGATAACCTCAGAGCAGAATGTAAAAATAATGCTTTTTTTTTTAATTTACAGACTATAGGCGAGTTATCATTGAGGTCAAGGAAATCAGGAATTCCTTAGCTTTACCATAATGAAAGCAAATAGAAACACTTTCTTACTGCCCATTTAAAGAAAAATAAGCTGATAGTGCTTTACATATACCCTGGAAAAATATCCCTAATCCTAGCTTGAGGTGAAAATTGTAATAGCTTTGGTAATCATTTTCTGTACTTCTGCTATCTTCATTCAAAATGCTTTCGCATTTCATATTAACACAAGTTTTTTAAAAGCACTATAATCACTCTAGAGCAATCCCTGTGCAACTTAAGAATTTGCATTTCCTACAGCATTGCTGGAATGCAGCATTAGCTGACATCTTCTTTCCTCTTCCTTTGGATGACTATTTTCATACTAAAAAGCTGTGCCAATCTTGCAACTTATTCCACAAGGATACAATAGCCATAGTTGCGTTGACAAATATAGTGACAGCACAGATGAAAGTTCTAAATTAGGAATGTGTTGAGATTTGCACTTAAAGGCATAGCTAAAATCCTTCTGTTTCACACTTTGATGATTATGCTTACATTTATTATCCAAACTTGATATAGTGATTCTTCAAAAGACATGACAGTTTTGGATATTTCTGTAACTCTGCACAGATCATATTTAAAATATTTTTTATTTCCCCCCATATTTCTTTATATTCACAAGGAAAAACAGATAACTACATGGAAATTGAAACATTTGCAGAAACACTGAAACATCGAGGACATCCTAGACACACACCTTAAGTGTACCTACTGCATCCTCTGGCTTAGGGATACCTGGACTGAATGAATTTCAATTTAAGAATTCAAACAAAAAAAAGAGCAAAAACTCGTACAAACTGAAGAGCATGCAAGGATTCGATGTTTCAATGCACAGTATAAGATTATACTTGTGTAATCATTAGATAATTAGATGTCCCATTTATTTTATTGCCAAGAGCAATTTCTGCTTTGCATTAGCTATTTATGTTTCCCACAGAACATCAGCTCAGTTACCTTCAGCACCATGCCTGACAACCTGAGAAAAGAAAGCACCATCCTGTTTTAATCTGCCCCGGGGGAGGTAACGGTTACTACCTTTGCAACTGCTGCAAAGGCTACTTCCAAAAAAAAAAAATCACAATATAAAAGCTTTCCAATGTCAACAGTAGGTAGCACTTAAGAGCATTACTTGCTTTGATGGCGTCTCTTGATGTATTTGGCCTCCATTGCTACGTTTAACATTTATACCTGTACCTAAAGCATTTACACCAAGAATGAAATGGAAAACTAAGTATTTCTCTATGAAAACAGTATGCTGCAAACAACTTCAGAAAGTTTGAAAGGTTATGCACCAGTCCTGCAAGGCACCGCAAGCTGTAAATGCCTCTTCAAGTTAGTGACAGTATACGCCACTCAACAGCTCGGAATTAGGCAATAAATCTTAGTTACAGCCGGTAAATATGTATTCCATGAAATTAGTGCTCCCCTGGCTTTATACCCAGTGTTCCCACAGAAGTCACTGGGGCATGACACAGAGCGCGCTGGGATGATCTCATTTATAACGGGGACTTACAGCCAGTGCAGTCCAGCCACAAAACAACGCTGGTTTGGTGATTGTTCCCAACCAACTAAATCTAAGCTGGGTTCCAACCAGCTAAAATCAAGCACACTAGGAATTTTATCCCGGCATGTTAGTAAGATCACATGCTTACTGCACAGCTGAATTTCTAAGTTTAAGACCTCGTGGGGGAATTATAAGGAGCTAGAAGAGAATATTTAGGAAAATGGTCTGAAATTAGGAAAAAGGACCAGAAATATAGATAGTGTCAAACTAATGCAAAATGAAGGCCAGTTCTGTTATATCTGCATGTTCTTGTTTTTAGATCAATGACTTAAAAGTTACAAGTGTATTTACTATACAATGCCTTACAAAAATCTATTGTTATATCATCAAGCAGGAAGTCTACAAATAGTCAATTACATATTTCTGAATGTTTCTTCTGGCAAATAGTTTTTGTTTCTGCAGCAACATGTTTTGGAATTCGTGCTGTTCTTTCAGTCCAAGATCAGGCTTTTAAAATGTGTTTCTCCTTCCTTTTTTTATTGGTAGGCATAATGCCACTTACCTACTTCAAAGTGCTGGTGTAAAATCCCCAGATGATTGCAGAAAAAATGTTGTAAGAACCATTAATCAATAGCAGAAGCTTCCAAGGATCTTTGTCATATTCCAGTTTGGACAAGTGCTTGATTTTGTGTGTGTGGTACTTCCCATAGTTGAAATAATTTAATTATGAAGTCAGAGAGAAATTAAGTCACATCAGGTTATCCTACTGAGGTCTTTGCAGAACTGGAGAAGTATACAGTTGCTAATATTTCTGCAGATAGTAGCATAAGAATAGAACAGAGTGATATGCTGTGTGGTTTATACTGAGTGGAGGGGACAGATGAGTTTCTTACTTATTCCACTCTACTCTAGACACAAGAAATCTTTCATCTTCTGTCACTCAAAATGGCTTAACATTTGGTTTCCAGAGAAACTGGTTGCTTATAAAAGCTGACTGACAACTGCTTATACATAAGTTTCTTCCCAGGAGACTCAGTCAGCTGCTTGTTTGGGTTGAGAACACGTGATACTTATTACTTCCTATTTTTCATCCAAATCCAGCATCTGGTACCTCATGACTCACAAGCGTGCCAATTCATTCTGGCAGTTCCTCATAGCCTTTTCCCATTAAGACAGTTCAACAAAAATTGCAGATCAGTTTGTGTTTTCTACTACTTACAGTCATGGTCTCAGGTTTTTTTTTTCCCTGTCTTCAAATAGCTCACTCTGGACTGTTATGAAAAACACTGCCTGATCAAAATCTCAGTTACTGTTCACCAACAATGATGCTCAGGAAGAGCTGAACAAACTTCTACCATGTTATGGCCTTGAGCAAACACTCTGGAGTATCTGGATTCATATTAGGAAAAAAGCCAAAAATTGAGTATGTCATTCAGGAAGGACCACATTCCTGTGCAACTGAGAGGACCAAATAATCATTTATAGATTAAATTATACATTGATTTACATAAAGGGAATTTAAGAAGTTAAGCTACACTACAGATGTCTGCACTTCACCCATTTTGCCCCAAAGACAACATGAGCAGTTGCTCTAATGGATGGAACAGGAACAGCTTTCACATGTGAATGATGTTTAACTGAACTAGAAACACAAAGGATTTTTCAAATGTAACCTACTGTCCACTACAGGAAAGTCACTCAATATTTCAAGTGAATTAGAAACTTTCCTCCCCAAACAACAGATTTTCCAAACCCAAGCCTTCAGTTGACCTACGATTGACAAAAAGTCACGACATCAACGTTAAACCCATAAGATTATCACTGCTATTTCTGCTTTGCAATTCCCCCCGTTTTTGAACAATAGCATTAATTTTTTTCAAGATTCTGTTCAGTTATAACAGCTATTGAAAAATACATTGCATTGAATTATTATAACCATTGCAGCTATCGATACTGAATGCTAAAGCTTAAAAAATATAAAACATTACAAAACTTGTGATAAAAAACATCAATTGGCAACACTGATGTAATTTACTACTGGCAAAAAAACAGCAGCAAAAACCCTCAGAAGTATCAGGGGTCATATTTGGAAGAATGGGAAACTTCAAAGAAAGAAGTCAGCTCTCTGCTTGCGTGTGTGTAGTTATTCATAGGGGTATATACCCATACGTAGAGACACACCTACACGAAAACACACCCAGTACAGAGAGGCGATGGCTTTTAGCTGCTGCAACAGGGAATCAAGGTCCCAGTAACAGGTATTCTCTTGGCAGCCATCTTGAGACAACTTTGTCATGCTGAGAAATTACTTACAAACCTCACCCTAGCACAGCCTCCTGCCCATACAGTACAGACATGAAGTGCCAGCGAGTATGGCACCAGCTGCCATCGAAAGCCCGGAGGCGCATCGGGACTCCGCTCAGCCCCCACGGGCCCCCGCCGGTGCTGGGGCTGGCCAGGCGTGGGGGCACACAGGAGAGGCTCCCCGTTACAGAGAGGGGCTCCCCCCGCCCTCCCTTGCCCCTCAGCCTGGAGCAGCAGGCAGCCCCGCCAGGCCCTGTTGTACAAGGGGCCGTGTCTACCTCTCCCAGGGTGGGTCTAGCAAACCGCCACTAACTGTGCCCAGTAAAGCTCTTCCATGCACCCAGCCTCACCCTAAAGCATTTCGCCTCCCTCCTCTGCCAAGACACGAGTTTTTCTCCTCTTTCTTTTGTACAGCTAAAGCCATACGGCCTAAAGAAAT